CCTGTGTCCATGTGTTCTCATTGTTCAACACCCGCCTATGAGTGAGAACATGCGGTGTTTGATCTTCTGCTCTCCTGTCAGTTTGCTGAGAATGATGGTTTCCAGGTTCATCCATGTCCCTACAAAGGACCCTAAACAAAAAGTCTCAAATCTTAATCCCAGCTTCCATTGTGGCCCATCCTTTCCTGCTACTGTTCTTCCATCCCTTGCCCCCCGGCACACACATGCCACGATTCTACACACACCCTGCCTGCCCTCACGTCCACGCCTGTTTACGGCGTCCTCACGGTCAAGCAGCAGCGTTCCTCAGCCCTTCCTCCAAGGCTTTCTTCCTCTGTTTGGCCCCAAACACTCATGGATGGCATCCACTGGGGAGCTGAGATCTAATATCACACGCCACATTTCAGCACTGAGGGAGCCGTTCTGAAAGATGTTAGTCACTGCCCTTGCAGAGCTCAGAGTTCAGAATGGGGACCTCCCAACCGAAAAACAGATATTTACAGGGCGGTGTGATGGCAAGTGTGGGAGCTGCTCTTAGAACCTAGAGAGCAGGCATTGGCAATTTCAATAAGGAAAACCAGAGAATAGTTTCTCAAATGCTGTCTCAAGGGCTGCATGATATTAAAGATTCACCATAGGTGGCTTTTCACTACCATCTTCTTCTCCATACTCCTGCCGCCAGAAGCAACACCCACAATTGTCCCAAATAGACACTACCCTAAATGCTGGCTGATCCGCCTGTGGACATCAGAGGCAGCAAATAGAAGTCTAGGGTGACCTCTTGGTTTCCTCGGATGGTCGTGGTTCATGTCTGTCATTCTTGTGTAATTACTCTCAAGTGTGTCCCAAATATATAAAAATGTGTATGTATCTGTGTGTATCTCACACACACACATACACACATATTATATGCTTCCCTAACTCTGCTCCCAATTTCTCTTGTAATGCCTAGTACTCACTGGGAATTCCTTTCAAACCAGGAGAGAAGCTTTAATTTTAAGTCAAAGCACTATCTGTTCTTGAAGTAAAGATTTATTGGCTGGGCATGACAGCTCACACCTGTAATCCCAGCACTTTGGGAGGCCAAGGTAGGCAGACCACGAGGTCAGGAAATCGAGCATCCTGGCCAACATGGTAAAACACCGTCTCTACTAAAAATATAAAAATTAGCTGGGCATGGTGGCGCATGCCTGTAGTCCCAGTTACTCGGGAGGCTGAGGCAGGAGAATCACTTGAACCCGGGAGGCGGAGGTCGCAGTGAGCCAAGATCGCACCACTGCACTCCAGCCTGGCGACAGAGTAAGAAAAAAAAAAAAGGATTTATTGCCTCAAAGACTTCTTTGGTTTTCACGTGTGAAATATATGTCTTCAAAAATTTACTCTAGAACTCGAGGAAACACCAATTTAATTAGCTTTGACCTAAGATAACAGTGCTTTTGATTACTCAAAAGCTGATCAGCTACCTTATTTTTATTAATTCCAAAATACTAGAAAATAACATTTATACCAGCATTGATTTAGCTACTTAGCTATTCCTGTGCTCCCACCTCACTCGGTCAAATGAAAGTTTCAAAATTCGGGTTGGATCTTGGTGAGGACGGGCCAAAAGAGTAAAGCAAAGACAGCATCTCTAGGAACAAGAGAGCTGAGCTTGTGGCTCATGACTGCTGTGCTCAGGGATGGTGTTGCAGGAGGAGATGTCACGCGTTACCCTTCTGCCGCCTGTCACCCCCAACACAGCCGTTTATACTGGCCATGTAAACTGCCCTGACCACATGTTCTTAGTTCTCTACCCCCTCTTCTACTACTGTGATTTCCAAGGAGGCCCAGAGGCGTATCAGGGCATGGACTTTGGCAAGTACAGCGACTCCCTGTGTAGTGCTGGGGTGCTCCACTGAGAACCCCCTTACTAGATAGGTGCAACAGCTTTAATGGAGTCGCTTTGCTTGGGAAGTTATGACACCTTCCCCAAAGGCATTTCGTAGCCTCTGATTGACATGTCATGACTGATGGGACCAACTCTGTTGTACAATTAAAGTTCCAATGAAGCAGACTCCAGCAGGGCCCATATCCCTGTTTGGTTCCTCTTCTCCCAGTAAATCCCCTTTATGAGAATCCATCTCGGGTGCTGCTTCTGGTGAATCTGACCTCAGATAACACTCTTCCCTTAGGAGGCTGCTGGCACCAAGAGCCACTGGCAAGTCCTGGGCATCTGCCCCCAGGTGGGGAGAGGCAACGGAAGGAGGATGAGGGGAAAGCTCACATTTGTGATTCTTGTTTAAATTCATGCTAAGGAAGAGCAAACAGTCCTAACCGTAGTTTGTAAAGGCTGCAAGGCCTCCCCCATTAGGGGAGCCCTTCGTTCAAGGCAACAGCAGTGCCTACTTTGTTCTCCTGGTTTCAGATCATGCTCAGGGCACAACCTTATAAAGCGGGGTCATCATGGAGCCACATGTCTTCTTGGTAGCCAGGCAGGTACCCAAGAGTTACAGACAGACCCACAATGTAATTTTTTAAATAAAAATAAAATCCCATTTTAAAAATGGATTCAGTTTTAAAAATCAATTCATTTAAAAATAAAAGCCCAAGGCGAATGGATCACGAGGTCAGGAGTTCAAGATCAGCCTGACCAATAATGATGAAACCCCATCTCTACTAAAAATACAAAATAAATTAGCCAGGTGTGGTGGCACACACCTGTAGTTTCAGCTGCTGGGGAGGTTGAGGCAAGAGAATCACTTAAATCCAGGAAGTGGAAGTTGCAATAAGCCAATACCACACCACTGCACTCCAGCCTGGGCAACAGAGGAAGACTCTGTCTCAAAAAAAATACAAATTTTGGGGAGATATGGCTAAACTAAGCTGTCCCCAGCTCTAGGCAACATGTCAGTGGGGAGTGCTCTGGTTGGGGGTTGCCTATGACCTCTGCCAGGCACTTGGTATCC